ATCCTACGACGTTTGACTGTGAATCCCGACCACTGCCGTTGCGCTGTTTTGCTTCATAACTCCGTTCAGAGAATCGTTTAGCAGATTTGGAAGGTAGATTTGAGATCAGCGTTCAAAGGCACATCTAGCGGTATACATCTCTTCTTGAATGGCCATGGCGACCTGGGAGCCTTTCCTTGTTAGCAGTTTTATTTCAACGTTGATGGACCAGCTACCGCACAATCGTATTGATATCACTTAATACCATACATTCATAGGGTCAGTGTGCAATGTTTTAGAAATTTTAGCGTTTTTTTTGCATTCTTCCATTACGAATGGACTGATTGCCACGACCGCTTTCATTTTTGCACAATTTCGCACACAATTTAAACACCCTTCAATAGAGGAACGTCCCTTTATCCGCCGATGTACTGCCATAATCAAATCTAAATAACTCATTGTTGAAGGTCAAGTTCACAATAAAACGCGACCCAGTCGTAATCAAAGTAAAGTTGGTCAGTGGTGCAGGAATGAAGATCCATGAAGAACGGCCCGGAAACAGAGAAATGTGACTTTTTTTAGCTCGCTGATTTCTGCATTGCCAGTCTTTCGGTGCTGCCCTCTTAAACGCTAACCTTCCCTCTGCAAAACGGCTAGAGTCAGAAGGCGAGAGGGTGGGCGGGCAGTGGCGCGAGCGGCGCGGGTATGACCTTGCTGGGCCTCTCTGGACATACTATTCGCTGCGGAACGCGCACCATTAGAAGGCCCGCCTGCCTTTGATTGTTTATATTTCCAGTTTTTCGACCTCCGAACTGATCGTGGAATCTTTCTTTGAAGCCATCGGGATTACGTGACAAGAGAGTACCTCATTGTATGAGAAAGTCCCACAATGAAAAGGCGGACCACTAGTAATAAACAAAGAGTTGGTAAACACAAGAGTCGCGGCCCTCTCGCCAGAAGTGCGCGATAAGGGCGCTAAGGTCATACCTTATCCGTTCCCAGCGCTGCCGTCTTTGTCAGTCGCGGTCTACGTGGCGTTTGTACCGCTCGCGTACAACGTGCTCCCTCCCGTTTTCCCTCTCCTCGTAGTGCTGTGTCTCTGCGCCATACCATAGCCGACCTTACAGTGTTTTCTATAGCACTTTTTGCTTTTCTCCTCACTAACAATCCTTATTACCTTCTTGTCTAATTTTTAACAAAGTAACGCACCAATTCGAAATCGACAAATGCCTTTGAGGCACACGTCAAACTCACCAAAATATGAATACAGTCTTTTCTACGACGACGAAGTTTTTCAGGAGCAGCCAAAGCGGGGCATTGAAAAACTTTCAGAGTTGAATGAGCAAAAACCGTGAACTCACCTTGAAGAAGCTCATTTCGGGTTTCCCTCGTAACTTCTGTGCAGTTCGAACGCTTATCCAAGTGCATTTCCCATCTTGTATATCGGTGCCGACTTTACCCGTCATAGCTGGATCACCAAACACGTCGAGAAGATCGTCCTCAAAAGAGGTAGAGGTTAGTTATCTGCAGAAGTGCTAGACACAAGATTTTGAAACTTTCAATTGAGTGCGCAACGGAGTGCTGCTCGCACTCCTGTCAAACCAGGCCTGCGTCTCGAATTTCATGGGGGAATCTTGGCGCGGTCCTTTGTCCCGGTCTGTGCCTTCAAGCATGACTTTCGGACACGAGACGCGAGGAGACTATTCACGACAGTGCTTGCTTATCCTCCTGGAACATGCAGAATGTGTGGGTCTCTATCACCATACGGCATGTTGCGGAAAAAAAAAAGGCGCGGGCGGGTGTAGTTGGCTCCCAGGAGGTAGGTAGTACAAGGCTCTGTCCAAATCCCCGAGCACTGGAATCTCCGACCTCTCTGAACGCAAGGGTTTGTCTACCAGCTGTAGTCTCCCAAGCAGAGAAGATCCAGCTATTCTGATACCTCACTGTTGGTGAGGGCAAGGAGATGCACCGCGATGCAGACGCCGCTTTTGGCTTCAATCGGTTTGTGGCTCAGTAGAGCTGCTTACGTCAGAGCGCGAAAAACATAGCTCTTCTCTCTTTCCACTTTGAGCTCGAAGAAGGCGACGATGGTGGGTAAGATTCGGGTATAATTTACTACACGGTGTGCCCTATCTACAGCCTACGTGAACATATTTAGAATTTGTTGAAGGAGCTTGTGGCATGAGATCCAATAAATACGCACGAACTTTCGAGACAACCTAATATTACCTAGCTTTCAGCACTCACACGTCTAACGTGTTGAGCCGGTTAGCCGATATCGGCAATGACCGCGAGGCTGAAAGCTTTAGCAGTGGATTTTGACTTGTTTTGTTTGTTAACTGCTGTTTTAATACGTAATAACTTCGTAT